TCTTAGAAGATATTAGTTTTATAAAGAAATTCTTGTAAGAATTCTTGTAGAACTTAATATTTCGTTATATGTATATCCGATCTCTACTGTACTCTACGACCTCTATCAACTTGGTCTCCGATCAAAATTAGCTTTCCTTTCTTGTTCTTAAAATTAGAAAACAAATAAATTTTTTTTTCTGGATCTTTAGCAATACTTAAGTTGTTACAAATATTGTTTTTAACCTATTTCAAGAAATTTAAGGAAAATTTCAAAGTTGTTAAATTTGTTGTTTTAATCGTTTGAAAGATATTGGAGTAAACAACTTAATACGTATGAAGCTGGTATGTATACCAATTACTTAGTAAAAAACGAAACTATGTTATTATGTGTAATTAGCTCATATTTAATTTAATTACTTTATTTTTAAAAATTAATATACAAAAAATCTCTTGTCTTATAAATTTTCTATTCCGTCGTGCATTTTTATAATAATTAACGTATTTATTTGTATTATGGTCATGGAAAACATGGAAACAAATACATGGAAAACCACCCTAACTTGGAAAAATGGAAAAATAATGAGAAATGAAGGAAAATGATGAAATTGTTATATTAAAATTCTAACCACCAATTGAGGGTCAAAGGTGTCCCGAGAAAGGAACTCAATTTTGCTTCTGGCTCTGGTCTCCTTTTTTTTATTTATGCAACAAATGAAAGAAGAAATTATCCTTGTTATTTATATTTTTGTTACAGATGGTAAGGTGATGAGTGACACATCCCCCTTCTCTTGTAAGTGAATCACGTATTCACAAAGCAAACAAACGCCGGAACACGCATAAATAAACAGGGGCGGAGAGCCACTGCTGGAGGAACGGAGGGCCAAAAGCCATGAAAATTAATCAAAAGCCTGGAGAAAGTAGTGGAAAGGAAAGCATTATAAGGATAGAAGAAACATTGAAACAGCCAAGGAAAGTATATTTTTCAGATGACGCCCATTAGTCGCATCATTAAATTCGAGCGTGGCACTCCATGAGGCGAGGGTACACCTAATTTGAACTCTTGCCACAAGATGTGCCGAGTGGCGAAGTGCAGAATCCTGCAGAACGAGTAGAGGGCTCTAACATGGGCGTCAATTCTCTGGAGGCATTCATCAAACATGTTTTTATACCCTTGCAGAGGGTATTAGAATTTTGGTCAAAAAAGTGCAACGCAGTGAAGGAGACATCTCCGACCCTATAAAGTATATATATTCTTGAACAGGATCACCACCTGAGTTGATATGAGCATGTCCGTCTGTCCGTCTGTCCGTCTGTCTGTCTGTCTGTTTCTACGCGAACTAGTCTCTCAGTTTTAAAGCTATCGTCTTGAAACTTTGCACACACCCTTCTTTTCTGTGCACAAAGTATATAAGTCGGAACGGCCCGGATCGGCCGACTATATCCTATAGCTGCCATATAACTGATTGATCGGAAATTGTATAACTTTGGTGTTTTTAGAAAGAAAAGCTAACTTCGGGCGGAGCCGTAGTTGATATACCCTTGCAGTTAAAACCGGATATATATCGCAAACATCGGATATAGTTGGCCGATTCTTATGAAATTATGATAATATAACCCAATTTATTATAATACAAAATCTAAAAAAAGTCCCAAACTTCTATCTTCAAAAATACCAAAGTTGGGATTTGTACCAAAAACCATTTCCGATCGTTCAGTTATACAGGGTGACAATAAATAACCCGGACAAACATTTTTGATCATAACTTTTTAAGGAACTGTATTTGACAAAAAATGCAGATACACAACTATTAAATAGGTATTGTGTTAACATATATTCAGCCGGTTTCGAAGTGGCTTCCTTGGGATGCGATGCAGAGCCCTAAACGTTTTTGAAAATTTAGCGCAATGGGCCGCAGGTCTTCTTCCGATAATCGATCCCATTCTCGGAGCAATGATTGCTTCAGCGCCTCCAAACTTATGTAGCGTTAAGCACATGCCCTGGACTACAAAATAGACCACACACTGTAGTTCATCGGATTAAGATCTGGCGAGTAAGGTGCCCATTCACTGGATGTGATAAAGTCCGAAAAATTGGCTTTGCACCAGTCCTGAGTCAATTTTGCTCTATGGGGTGACGCTGAATCCTGTTTAAACGTCCACTCCGCATCACCGAAGTGCTGCTGGGCCCAAGGCAGCACAACAGTTTCCAAAAGGTCCAGGCGGTACACTTCCTGATTGATTTTGACCCCTTGATCGATGAAAACAAGGGGTGTTTTGCCGGTGGCGCATATTCCTCCCCAAACCATTAAAGATTGCTCACATTGACGGCGCTCGATTTTTGCAGAGGTACCTGGAGCTTTAGCAGACCAGCTTCTGTCATTTTGGTGATTGTGCGCCTGTTGGATGGTGAATATCTTCTCGTCCGTGAAGAGAATACGCTCCCATTTTTGACCTGCGGCGCGACGCTTTAGCTGACGGCATCTTTGGAGTCTCACGCGCTTATTGTCATCCGTAAAAAGATGCATTTTTTGGAGCTTGTAGGGCTTGAGATTAAGATCATTTTTTGCAATCAACCGAACACTTTCTCGATTCACTCCGATTTCACGGGCTATTTTTCTGGCCGAGACTCTGAACTTCCGAGTGATCCGCTTTTTCACGATCTGGCGAACTCTGGAAGTGTTAGCGGTGCATGGTCTGCCTCGTCCGGGACGGTCACCTTCATGGCCAAGCTCATTAAATCGCCGGGTAGCGTCAGAGACCGTTTGTTTTAATATGCCAAGTAAACGAACAATGTCGTATTGGCGATTTCCTTGTTGAAACATTTTTAAAATTGCACAACGATTGTTAGACATCCCGAAACAAATATCAAATTGATGGGAATCACAAAGATGTAAATATACTTGTTTCAGAAAAGTACAAGCTATCGATAAATGCATTTATTTAAGGGCTGCTGTATGTACATTGTAAAACACAGTAAATTGATTACGAGGACATTTCACAACAAATGTAGTATTCACAATGACTACGCACAACTGTGCCGCCTGGATCCCCTTACCGGCCATCGAGTCCTAACAGTCGCCGGAAGCAATATACCCGCAGAGCCTGATAGAATCCGGATGCCTCGAAGTCCAAGAAAGACTCCAAAGGAGACGAATCAATCGCGACAACTCTTAAAACTGAAGAGAAGCTGAAAGAGATTTTACAGCCAATGAACATTTAGTTTTTAATAAAAACAAAAAAACAGCAGTGGCAAAAAAAGTAAACAAAAAAAGTAGCTTTTATTGTAATACATACATATATTCTACAGAACTTTAAGATTTACAAATAAGCAGAGTTATTAAAACATAAATATGAAACTAGAGAGAAAAGATAATTTGAATGGAGCCGAAGTTGCTGTAAAGTGGGAGTTTGTATTTAAGATATACATACATTTCGTCGCATATATGCGAAAGTATCGTTTGTCGCTTTTTATAAAAATTCAGTTTTTAATGGCAAATTATTATAAAATATGTGCCACAAATCAACCAAAATTTATAACCATCGCTTAAATATACTATAATTATATAGTTTCGGTAAAATTAAAGATTCAATTTTATTTCTGCAATTTCATTTTTAACAAAATTCGTTCAAGAAAATCTTTTGCTTAAAGTTCGACTTTTCGACTATGATACACCGATCGCCATTTGAATAGGACACCCTGTATGTTCCCTTTAGAACGGCTCATAATTTGATCATTTCGAAAACGAAATGATCAAATAATGTAATTTTTGCTTATTATTTGTGTGCAGACATTTTTCGCGCTTTCTGATATAATCCAAGTTTTCGAAAAAATGTAATGTTATTCTTGTGCCACTTGAATAGAACATGAATATTACTTTGTCGGTATCGTTGAAACAAGCACAGCAATTTTGAGTTACTTGAGCTTTTTAATTTATTTAAAGAGTAAATTTAATTAAAAGAGTTAAAATGGGGCATGGGCCTTCATTATCCGAGGCGGAAAATGAAAAATCCAAGCCTACAAGGATTCTGGTTTATCTATTGCGAAAATAACAAAAAAATCTACAGGAGCCATCACATGGTAACGAATTTGTTAAATAAAGAGAATAATTCTGGTTTATCTATTTCGAAAATAGCAAAAAATCTACAGAAGCCGTCACGTGGTAACGAATTTGTTAAATATAAAATACCTTTGCAGTTAAAACCGAAAACATCGAATATAGTTGGTCGATCCTTATAAGAATATCATAATATAACCAATTTATAAAAAATAAAGATAAAACAAAATACCAAGCTTCTATCTTTAAAAAAACAAAAATTGGTATTTTTTCCAAAACCCATTTCCGATCATTCAGTTATATGGCAGTAGGATGGATCAACTGGCCAAAAATAGAATCTGTATTAAGTTTCAGCTTTCTATCTTCAAAAACACGAAAGTTGGGTCATTTTCGATCGTTCAGTTATATGGCAGCTATAAAATATAGTCGTCCGATCCTTATAAAATTTGGTAGTAATGTTTTGCCAAAAATAGCTTTCATGTCAAATTTGAACTCTATAACTTTAAAAACACCAAAGTTATACCATTTCCGATCAATCAGTTATATGGCAGCTATAGGATATAGTCGACCGATCCCGGTCGTTCCGACTTATATACTGCGTGCAAAGGAAACAAGTGTGCAAAGTTTCAAGTCGATAGCTTTAAAACTGAGAGACTAGTTTGCGTAGAAACAGACAGACAGACGGACAGACGGACATATATCAACTCAGGAGGTGATCGTGATCAATAATATATACTTTATAGGGTCGGAGATGCACACTTTTGACCAAAATTATAATACCCTCTGCAAGGGTATACAAATACTTAACAGCTTTTGAAATACTTTTTGAACCGATAAAAAAGTATGTGTAGAGTAGATGTAGAAATGTAGAGTATGTAGAGTAGATAAGTAAAGTTTATGTGTAAAGTAAATATGTCAAAATTAAAGACCAACTTTCAAACCCAAAAAAAAACTTCAAATTTCATTTAAGTTTGAATAATAAATCTGAATAATAAATTGCCGAATCCCTTTATTTTTTGGGCTTCCATTTTGAGGATTATTTATCTTGAAATGTTTACCAACTGTTGACATCGTACCACTCGGAGTTGGAGCAGAGGTTGCCGAACTCGCCATTGGATCCGGAATTGCAGCCCTGGGATCCATAGTCGCAGCTGGAGTAAATCTGGGCGCCGATCATGTTCGTAGTGGCGTAGTTACATGCCACAAGCACCTGGTTCCATCCATCGCGGTTATAACGGGCGGCGGCACAGCCCAGACGAGTGTTCTTCTCGGACATCATCACGGTGAAGTGACCAATAGCACTATGGATGGAAAAAAAAGGTTAAACAAAATTCCCTTAAAGTGGAATATCATTCAATAGCATAAGATTTAGTAAAAAATATTTGTTAGTAATTGAATAATGTTTCATTAATTTATCCTTATCCTTATCCTTGTATGTTTTATGAAAACGAAATAATAAAATTACTCAAAAGTTCAAAAGGAAAGAAAAAGTCGATGGACATCGACTTCCATCGCCATGCTTATATCAACTCTGCAGGTGATCCTGATCAAGAATATACTAATATACTAACAATATAAAAAGAATCTTATAAAAGTGAAATAAGCCGCACTAATCAATGTGCTATACACAGGATATTCAAATTACCATCCCTTTCACTTACGGTCCACTGTAGCCGGCGGGGTAGCCTCCAGAGATAATGCCGCTGTTGGAGTTGTAGACCTCGTCAAACCACATCTGGACGCTGTTGTCGAGGATATATCCCATGTCAGGCAGGTCGCCGGAGTAGGCCTGCCAGGCCAGGTTCTGTCCGGAGTACTTGAAGGCGTCGGTGTTGTGGCAGCTGTCGTGCACCATGTTGCACTGGCGAACATTGAGGGAGGCCAGATAGGCCAACTCATCATCCCACTCCATGGTGGCCATACGGCAGGCGGCATTATGGTTGGGATCGTATCCTCCAGCGATGTAGTTGCGCTTATCATTGTGAGAGTGGACAAAGACCCACTTATAGTCGTCGTTGATGTCGATCAGTTCCGCGTCCCCGGGACAGGCGCTGTCCCACCAATTGCTGTGCCCGCAGGCGATGTGGCTGCCCCCGTTGCAAATGTCCCACGAGCAGTAGTCGGTGGCCTGGGACACTCCCATGACCGCCATCAGGATTGTGAACAAAGCGAGCTTCATATTGCCTTCGACTTCTAGCGATTACTATGGAGCTTCTGAGTAGACGGTGAGTTTATATGGCTCCTCGAATGACCACTTATCACCTAAAGAGTTACCATATATTATCATCAGCCGAGCTAGCCGAGCTCCATTTAAATTGCCGTACACAACAGACAAGTATAATCTAATCGTCGTACTTCATTTACGGGTTATTCATTTTGTTGTGTGCCAATCGGTTTCCTCCGATAGTATGATCTTTGTCAAGGTGCCCAGCTGAGAAATTCAGGAAAATATTTATTGGTATTTGAATTTTCACATTTTCTTACAAGATGGAATTGTTAAGTCTGTAAGTCTCTTCACAAATCCTTACATAAAGTTATAGTTGATATTTTCCTTAGCAACATATTTATTAATGTATTATTTTATAAAATGAGGGATAACCAATTTAAAATATAATTTATATATAGAATTGCGCCCTATGCGTTTTTTCGAGGACATGTTTCCGACTGAAATAAATATTTAGATAAAACGCTATCAATCGATCATTGAACTTTATTATAAAAATCTTTTAGGAGACGATTTATGGGTATCTATGAAACCAGCAACTAACTATACATGGTGTATAGTTAGTTTCCGTACAATTTTAAGCATTTAATCAACACTTGCACTTTCTTAAAAAGAGGTATCATTCATAACAAAAGGTTTGTTTAAACTATAGACAAACAAATTTTTAATGTTCATTGCAACAAGAAAGGAAAGCTAACTTCGGGCGGAGCCGAAGTTTATATACCCTTGCAGTTAAAACCGGATATATATCGCAAACATCGGATATAGTTGGCCGATCCTTATGGAAATAGGAATATATAATCCAATTTATTACGATACAAAATCTAAAAAAAGTCCCAAACTTCTATCTTCAAAAATACGAAAGTTGATATTTCTACCAAATACCATTTCCGATCGTTCAGTTATATGGCAGCTATGGGATATAGTCGGCCGATCCTAATGAAATTTGATGGGTTGGATCAACTGACCAAAAATAGAATCTGTATTAAATTCCAGCTTTCTATCTTCAAAAACACGAAAGTTGGGTCATTTCCGATCGTTCAGTTATATGGCAGCTATAGGATATAGTCGGCCGATCCTTATGAAATTTGGCATGACGTTATGTTTTGCCAAAAATAGCTCTCATGTCAAATTTGAACTCTCTAACTCTAAAAACACCAAAGTTATACCATTTCCGATCAATCAGTTATATGGCAGCTATAGGATATAGTCGGCCGATCCGGGCCGTTCCGACTTATATACTGCGTGCAAAGGAAAGAAGGGTGTGTGCAAAGTTTCAAGACGATAGCTTTAAAACTGAGAGACTAGTTCGCGTAGAAACAGACAGACGGACAGACAGACAGACGGACAGACGGACAGACGGACAGACGGACATGCTCATATCAACTCAGGAGGTGATCCTGATCAAGAATATATATACTTTATAGGGTCGGAGATGTCTCCTTCACTGCGTTGCACACTTTTGGACAAAATTATAATACCCTCTGCAAGGGTATAAAAAACAACATTTTCGTTATCTAATCACTTAATAATCTATACGGGTGGAAATTTGTTTTGGCTTTTTAGATTTTAATAGGATTAAAAAAATAGCTTGAATCAAAGAAATCTTTCTACATATTTATAAATAAAAAAACTTATTATTCTATGTTTAATATATTTTAACAAACTGCAGACAGTATTAAAAGCTTCCAAATACTCAAAGAACAGCCAAACAGAAAATCGATAAGACATCCAATTGATGCCGTGGGGTAGGTTGACAAATTTTTCAGTCCAGTACCGGCAGTTAATAAAATTTGAACCTTATCCGAACTGATACATTCAATTTATGGACTTCTTCCTTAGTTCGCAGCGATCGTGTTTAACTTAGTAAACAGCTTTTTTACTATCTTAAATTAGTCACAAATATATGGCCCAATTTAATTAAATCCACCCGATTTTAAAGCTTGAATTAATACTTGTGTTTTTGAAGTATTAACTACGTGACCAGAAGAAAATTAATATTTCTGTCTGAAAATTCGACAGCAGTTCGACAGCTTGTCAAGTGTTAGTCATTTTACTTCTCCAAAATGGCTCGACCGATTTTGGTAAAATTTTGTGTACATATCCGTTAGGGCTAAGAATCGGACACCGTCTCCCTAAATGTTAAGAGCGGGATTAAAAAATTATTTAAATTAAACTCCTCCAAAATGGCTGCTCTTATAGTAATGAATAACAGAAAGTAGGTTGTGAACGTAACTTATCGTACTTTTATGTGTGTCATATGCCCCTGACATAGGGCCCTGCCGACCACTGATCTACAGTCAGCAATGTCAAGAAAACGCAACTGGGCCAATCTGAGTCGTCGAATGGTCATTTCTAGAGCCGCACAAGATAAAAGAGCAAGAAGATCAAAAGATTAAATCGAAGAAGATAATGAAAAAGTGCGTGTGAGCATGGCGCAGTTACTTGAATCACAATCGAAAGAAGCAAAAGGTGAACGTACGACGAAGGCAACTGCAACAAACAGAAACGCGAAGATTCAGAGTTAAAAGAAGAAGAATTTATCAACAACGGCAACAAGTTAATCGAGCATTTACATTAGAGCAATTTCTTCGACTAGCATTCCAGTAAGAACCTGATGTTAAATATCATGGCATGTAAACATTCTCCTTGAGGCAAATAGGATACGACATTGAGGGATAAAACACAATGATAAACTATTTGGCGGCTCTTTGTTTCTTCTTTCAGGTGATTTCAGACAAACTCTTCCCGTTATTCCACGTTCAACATGCCCTGATTAAATTAATGCTTGCTTAAATCATCACTACAACTGATGAAGAATATTCGCGTTCAAATGCTTCGGGATCCATCCGCCAAAACTTTCTCTAAACAATTGTTAGATATTGCCGATGGGAAAGTTTCTGTACGTGAAAAAATGGATGTACGTACATATGTACTGGTACTCTCTTTCCTGTCCCTCTAATTTAAAATATAGAATTTTAAATTTCCTTACTAACTCCTCTTAGCTTAACAAATTTCAAATAGCTTAATATGTACTAACAAATCGTTTCTCGAGCGCCCCTCGGTCGTCTGGGCCTCTAAGCTTTATGATGAATACAGGAATGCTAGCTGATGCTCTTATTGATGCACAAACCATTTCCAGATTATGAAAGACCGCGAAAATAAAAAAAAAAATACTGGAAAATATTTATTAACCAAAATTAATGAAAAAAAAAACAAGAAAGGAAAACTATCTTCGGGCGGAGCCGAAGTTGGTATACCATTGCAGTTAAAACCGGAAATATATCGCAAACATCGGATATAAAGCAAAGGAAAGAAGGGTGTCTGCAAAGTTTCAAGTCGATAGCATTAAAACTGAGAGACTAGTTCGCGTAGAAACAGACAGACAGACGGACAGACGGACATGCTTATATCAACTCAGGAGGTGATCGTGATCAATAATATATATACTTTATAGGGTCGGAGATGCACACTTTTGACCAAAATTATAATACCCTCTGCTAGGGTATACAAATACTTAACAGCTTTTGAAATACTTTTTGAACCGATAAAAAAGTATGTGTAGAGTAGATGTAGAAATGTAGAGTATGTAGAGTAGATAAGTAAAGTTTATGTGTAAAGTAAATATGTCAAAATTAAAGACCAACTTTCAAACCCAAAAAAAAACTTCAAATTTCATTTAAGTTTGAATAATAAATCTGAATAATAAATTGCCGAATGCCTTTATTTTTTGGGCTTCAATTTTGAGGATTATTTATCTTGAAATGTTTACCAACTGTTGACATCGTACCACTCGGAGTTGGAGCAGAGGTTGCCGAACTCGCCATTGGATCCGGAATTGCAGCCCTGGGATCCATAGTCGCAGCTGGAGTAAATCTGGGCGCCGATCATGTTCGTAGTGGCGTAGTTACATGCCACAAGCACCTGGTTCCATCCATCGCGGTTATAACGGGCGGCGGCACAGCCCAGACGAGTGTTCTTCTCGGACATCATCACGGTGAAGTGACCAATAGCACTATGGATGGAAAAAAAAGGTTAAACAAAATTCCCTTAAAGTGGAATATCATTCAATAGCATAAGATTTAGTAGAAAATATTTGTTAGTAATTGAATAATGTTTCATTAATTTATCCTTATCCTTATCCTTGTATGTTTTATGAAAACGAAATAATAAAATTACTCAAAAGTTCAAAAGGAAAGAAAAAGTCGATGGACATCGACTTCCATCGCCATGCTTATATCAACTCTGCAGGTGATCCTGATCAAGAATATACTAATATACTAACAATATAAAAAGAATCTTATAAAAGTGAAATAAGCCGCACTAATCAATGTGCTATACACAGGATATTCAAATTACCATCCCTTTCACTTACGGTCCACTGTAGCCGGCGGGGTAGCCTCCAGAGATAATGCCGCTGTTGGAGTTGTGGACCTCGTCAAACCACATCTGGACGCTGTTGTCGAGGATATATCCCATGTCAGGCAGGTCGCCGGAGTAGGCCTGCCAGGCCAGGTTCTGTCCGGAGTACTTGAAGGCGTCGGTGTTGTGGCAGCTGTCGTGCACCATGTTGCACTGGCGAACATTGAGGGAGGCCAGATAGGCCAACTCATCATCCCACTCCATGGTGGCCATACGGCAGGCGGCATTATGGTTGGGATCGTATCCTCCAGCGATGTAGTTGCGCTTATCATTGTGAGAGTGGACAAAGACCCACTTATAGTCGTCGTTGATGTCGATCAGTTCCGCGTCCCCGGGACAGGCGCTGTCCCACCAATTGCTGTGCCCGCAGGCGATGTGGCTGCCCCCGTTGCAAATGTCCCACGAGCAGTAGTCGGTGGCCTGGGACACTCCCATGACCGCCATCAGGATTGTGAACAAAGCGAGCTTCATATTGCCTTCGACTTCTAGCGCTTACTATGGAGCTTCTGAGTAGACGGTGAGTTTATATGGCTCCTCGAATGACCACTTATCACCTAAAGAGTTACCATATA